ACATTTTGACGATAAAACTATGTTTTTATCAAGTTTGGGACCTTTTTCATCATGATATGCTTTTTTTTTTTTGTAGAAAAATCTTTAGGGGTATCTATATTAATGCTAATAGCATTCAGTTACATTCAGTCTTTAAGCTGGGCAAGAAAAATGTTGACTTCCGTTAGTGGGAAATTCACCGGTCATGGCAATTTCATTGATATGTTAAATGACAAAGGGGAAAAAATGATTATTTCCGTGGACGACGACGACGACTATAAATAGCATTGGTACGGCTTATTGCTCATCTCCGAACACTTTGCGAGACTTACAGGCGCCAGCCAAAATCTAATTCACTGTGACTCTAATCCATCTTTATAATCTCGACTTAGATCTTATCAAGATGATCATATTATTCGTGTAAACATGTCATTTCCTCTGTTCAGAATAAAAAAAAACGACGAATTAAGTTCGACTGTGAACTGATTTGCGAGGAAATGTGTTAAATTGAAGAAATGTGAAATCAAATTAACTGCTTCACTGTAAAATAGTATATATACATACATACATATATATACAGTGTAACCCGTTTCTAAGAGAGTTGTCAGTCTCTTATATCCGGGTTTGGTCTATTTTGTTTAGGTAAGTATGGGCTCTAATTTGGGACCAGAGAAAATCTCTCTTATATCCGGGTCTCTTATATCCGGGTTACACTATATATATATATATATATATATATATATATATATGCATGTTTCATTAAAAGCGACAGACAAGGTACTACGGTTGAGCTTTTTATTTAATTTGTGTTCTCACAAGAGCTTTCTTTTCTGGACAAAGGGTGTGTAAGAACTGTCCAAATGTTTTATATTTCAAAGCGCTTTCGGCTATACCTTTAGCCATTATCAAGGATGATTCGATTTTCAGCTTAAATGAGTGTGTGCGTTCTGTGTATGTCTTAGTGTGTGGTAGGGATGTTTTTAATTTCCGAATACGGTTATCACATTGTGGCCTTGTTCGTAGTTAATATTGTTAAGAGTTGGCTTTTTCTTTTTTATTATCAAAGCTTCCATTATTTTTAGTCTTTTTTTGCAGGTGGATGCAGATAATATATTTGTGTTTTTTACTAGTATGTTCCTAATGGAATCGGGTAAATCTGTGTGTGTGTTTATATATATATATATATATATATATATATATATATATATATATATATATATATGAAGAAATATAGTTTTAAGGTGTGCTATATTTATGGGATAAAGTGCTCAAGATGAAAGATAGAGCGTATGTAAATATAAAAGTGAACATTGAAGTCAACACTCAGAGACGACAGGCTGTTTCATGCTAGACGCAATCGACAGGCCGCGAATGTTTTTCTTGATTATTTATAAATGGGTCAGTGGTGCATTGTGGGTAATCTATTCTGGCTGTTATTTTTGCGGGAGTGGCTGATTTGTTTATTTGTTTGGGTTCATTTATTTTACTTGTTTTACATTTTCATTTTCTATTATTTATTCTTTTCGGTTTTTGATGTTTTATTAACGTAGTAAAAAATGTGTGATATGCTTAGATCACTTCTTTAATAGTTTGTTTTGGTTTGGGAAGATAATTAAAGCTATTTATTCGTCCAATGTTTAGATTGCTTGCCATAGTCTATTCTGTTATTTTGGAAGGGGAGACTTTTTAATTTATTTATTTGGATTGATTATTAATACTTATTTATTTATGCTTATTTTTATTAGTTCTAACAGTTATTTGTTAATTTGTTCATTTATTTATTTATTTGGATTAATTTTTATTTGTTTCTTATTTATTTGCTTATTTTTTATTTTGTATATTTTTATTTACTCTATTTGTTTTTCGATTTTTGAGTAACGTAGTAATGTTTTTTATCGTTATATAGCAGTTAAAGCTATTTTTACGTCCAATTTTTGGATTGGTTATTGTAGTCTATGCTAACGGTTATTTTGGCGGGATTGGTTTGTTAATTCGTTTAATATTATTTAGTTTATTTATTTATTTGGGTTGATTATTTTTACTTGTTTTTTATGCTTTTTATTTTTGTTTATTCTATTTCGTCTATTCTAACGGGGGTGTTTTTTTTTTTTTAAATTTGTTTATTATTTGTTTGGGTTAGTTTATTTTACTTGCTTTTTATATTATTTTGTTTATTCATTTCAGTTTTCGACTTTTAAGTAACGTAGAAAAAATTTGTTTTCATGTCTGCATTTTAAGATGAGCTCAGATCGTTTATTTACAGTGTAACCCGGATATAAGAGAGTTGTCGGGACCGGAGAAGAAGTCTCTTATATCCGGGTTTCTCTTATATCCGGGTTTGGTCTGTTTTGTTTAGGTAAGTATGGGCTCTAATTTGGGACCAGAGAAAATCTCTATTATATCCGGCTTTCTCTTATATCCGGGTCTCTTATATCCGGGTTACACTGTAGTAATTTATTTTGGACTGGGAAGGTAATAATAGCTATTTTTTCCTCCAAGCAAACTTTGCGAGTTTTTGATTGGTTGTTGTAGGCTGATGTTCTTTTCCTTATTTTCCATGATATTTTTGGTGTGGTTTTTCATTTCCCAGATGCACTTGGAAAACATTGTGCTGTTCGCGTATTTAGTATTGGTGAAAGATGTTTTGTGTGCATAGTTCTTTGCTTCCAGGGTCCTTCAGCTATTCCTATGTATACTTTTTTATGATAACAAATAATATAAAAAATTATAACAAATACTAACAAATTAACAAACAATAAATAATAAACAAATTAACAAGCCATAATAAACACATTAACAAACCATAATAAACAAATTAACAAACCACTACCGTTAGAATAGACGATCAGTTATGTGTCATGCGTGATACACGCTTAGGCGATCATGTATCTTTCGATACATGACTGACGAGGCAGATTTTTTCCGCAGTAGGTTGCCATTTCCTTCTGCGGTAGACCAGTTTCTATTCAAAGCTATGGAACCTGGTCTGTCCTGTTATTTACCCATAGATGGGGGGGGGGAGAAAAAAAGGATTCATACCTTTCCCAATGGTATTAGCACGTAAATGAATTTAATGGACTTGACTGAAATTCGAACTCGGCTCTCCGATTCCTTAATCCGAGCCTCTATCCATTACTCTGAACCAATAGTCAAAGTCGAAAATTACGTCCACTTTCGTAAAAAAGAGAAAGATGTTACGCTTAAATATAAAGATTAGAATTATTCATGCCAATATATAAGTAATTTAAGGTATACAATTCATTACATGATCTTAATATAACTCTTAGTGAGATATTCTTTTATTAATTGCACTTGCTGCACACTTGTGCAAATTAATTGAAGGTGGCGTCCTGGCACTTCAAAAACTCCTCCACAACATATACACCTTTATCCAAATAAATTGATACAAAATGAATAATTCAGTTATTATTTACTATTTTCACATTTTTCCAATGAAACATGACCCAGTACATATGTTAGTACTTCGTATGTCCATTCCACGAAGTCGTTCCTTGCAGATTGACCACAGATTCTCGATTGGATTTAAATCAGGAGAGTTTCCGGGCCAGTCTATAGTACTTTGATTTGCTCACTGGTAAGGCTTGCCTGTGTGTTCGTATGCCCATTCTACGAAGTCGTCCCTTTCAGATTGACCACAGATTCTCGATTGGATTTAAATCAAGAGAGTTTCCGGGCCAGTCTATACTACTTTGATTTGCTCACTGGTAAGGCTTGAGTTCGTGCAGCGTTAGATTTTCTTACGCTCCCTTGGAGTAACGTCCATCGCAGACAATGGTCGTAGGACAACTAATCGACAGTCGAGACAATAATATCAGGGCGTGATGAAACTCAAAAATCCCAAAAAATTTCAACATACACCCCGAAAACAGATTCATATTTCTGCACACCACTGCAAATGACCTAATCTAAGGAAAGAATAGAAATCGATTACACCCTGTTACTCCTGTGCGTCTAAAACTGACCGTATGATGAAAAAAAAAGGAAGCTAAAGCGGTTGTTTCATGTACTTTGCACAAGGATGTAAATAACACTCATTTCAAAAATAAAATGTCGACGTATACCATGACTTACCTTAAAATAAACAAATATGCGTAAAAGATTATAAAAATATGTATATTAAATACTATAAATGCATAATAACGTAAAGAATATTATAATATAATATAATAAATAAAAGAAAAATATAAGAATAAATCTGTCGGTGGCAGACTCGTCTGTAACTTTCTTTTTGCAGACGACATTGACCTCATAGTAACAGTAAGCTCCAGCACTTGACCAACAAACTTGTTGAAAGAGCAGGAACATATGGAATGGAGGTCAGCTTCGATAAATCCAAAGTAATGGTGAGCAGCTGAAACAGTAACACCTGTGTCAACATTACCATGAACGGGAATTCACTAGCGAAAATGTCCAGTTTTAAATACTTAGTCTAAAGATGGTGCCTGCAACTTGGAAATCCGCTCATGGATTGCCGCAGCCATAGCAGTGATGAACAAACTGACAAGAATATGGAGGAGCAAAATCAGCTTTCAAACAAAGTACAGACTGTACAAAATCGCTGGGAGACTCCATTCTCCTATATGGATGTGAAACCTGGACACTATTGGCAGATACAGACAGAAGGGTCGAGGCGTTTGAGAACAAATGCATAAGAAAACTCCTTGGCATCTTCTATTGGTAACAAATAACTAATGAGTTTGTGCGGAAAAAAGTTGAAAGCTTTGTGGGACTGTCAAACGGAGAAAAATGGCATGGTTTGGACACATTACGAGGCATAACAGCCTGTGCAAGAGCATCATGCAAGGCACCATTGAAGGTGGACGTAGGAGAGGATGTCAACGCAAAAACTGGCTGGACAATGTCAAAAAATAGACAGGTATGATCATAGCAAAATTACAGATGGCTGCCGTTGATAGACCGTTGCGGAAAAGAGTTAGTGTGGATTCTGCATTCGGATCCACCCTACGATTACAAAAGTCAAGGGGATGATGATGATGATGATGATATCTATCTATCTATCTATCTATCCATCTATCTATCTATCTATCTATCTATCTATCTATCTATCTGTGTCTGGTTCTGTATCTATCTATCTATCTATCATTAAAAGTCACTATTGTCTGTGCAAGAGCATCATGCAAGGCACTGTTAAAGGTGGACATAAAAGAGGATGCCAACGCAAAGACTGGCTGGACAATGTCAAACAATGGACAGGTATGACTGCACCAGAATTGCTGATGGCTGCCGTTAATAGACCGTTGCGGAAAAGAGTTAGTGTGACTTCTGCATTCGAATCCGCCAAACGATTACAAAATTCAAGGGGATGATGATGATGATGATGATCTCTCTCTCTCTCTCTCTCTCTCTCTCTCTCTCTCTCTCTATATATATATATATATATATATATATATATATATATTCGTGTCTGTTCAGTATCTATCTATCTATCTATCTATCTATCTATCTATCTATCTATCTATCTATCCGTGTCTGTTCAGTATCCATCTATCTAGCTAGCTTGCTATCTATCTATCTATCTATCTATCTATCTATCTATCTATCTATCTATCATTGCAAGGCACGGTTGCCTGTGCAAGAGCATCATGCAAGGCACCATTGAAGATGGACGTAGGAGAGGACGCCAACGCAAAAAGAAATGGTTGGACAATGTCAAAAAATGAACAGGTATGATTATACCAGAATTGCTGATGGGCCATTGGGGAAAAGAGTTAGTGTGGCTTCTGCATTTGGATCCGCGCTATGATTAAAAAAGTCAAGGGATGATGATGATGATGATGTTCAAAATTTCGGTTGAAAATCTTTTTGCGTCATTGTCGGAACAAAGATTGTATAGCGCCTTTTTTTTCCGGTGAATATCACATTGTTATTTCCCTTTAACTCAACTCTCCAAAGTTTGTCTGTGGCCTGGTATTGAACTCGCATCTCTTTGTGTCTAGTCACCAACGTCTTTATCCACTGGGCCATGCGTCCCTGTGGAAATAACTGAGACATTCGGAAGAGGCATGGCACGTGGAACCAGAACAATCTACCCACGATGGACGAAATAAAGGGTTCGTTTCGAAATTACAATCACTTGAAGAAGGCCGGAGAGTACAACGGCCAAAGCGTTGTGAATATGGCAATGAAAATGAAGATAACATTCCGAATAATGTAAATAATGCAAATAATTTCTGTCTAGTCTAGAAATTGCTATACGCATGCCAAAAGAGAAAAAAAAAATTGATGGTCTCATATTTCGTTTTGTTATGTACACACGTCGTGTGCGAGTGCGCACACGCGTACACACCAATAGCAGTTAGCACGCATTCTTACACTTAAAACTTGGTTTAAGCTCAGCGGTACAAGACCTCCCCTCTTTCTCCTGCTCTTCTCTTGGTGACCCCAAGTGAGTTCAGCTCCAAATACATTACCAATTGACTCCCCTATTATATTCCACATTTTTCTATCCTCTCCCCCGCGACTTTCAACAGCTGTTCGTACAATAGAAAGTCAGGCCTTCGGTGTGAATCAACCACAGGGCAGCCATTTTCTTACGCTCCTACAAAATACACTAGGGCCCCCTGTTTCGAAATGGCTGTTGGAGGAAATCACACCCAAAATATGTTGACGATAGTGTTCATTGAACAATTAAGTCTATGCAAAATTTTCTCAGCGAATATTTATTCGTTTTCACAGGCACGGTCTCCTCCAGCAAACCAAACCAAATACGCACGCTCGTACGCACTTTTTCGGGCTGGATCTCAAACCCTCCCCGCCACCAACAAGAAGTGGGGAAAAATGTGTCGAACCCTATCTCCCTTGGCCCTTCATCGCAATTCCTGGAAAGAATAAACAAATCCAGAGATCACATTTCCCTCAGGGCTATGTTTGCTGTCAAAAAAACGAGTCTTCATAAACTCAGTGCGCGCTAAATTTCCGTGGCACCGAATAGAGGGTTCCGTTCCTGTCTTTATGCTCCAACTCACAGAAGCAAAATGGAAAAAGAAGATAAAGAAGCTGATGATGATAACAAGAAAGGAAGAACAACCCCCCCAAAAAAAGGTGCCATTATTATGAAAGGGGAGGGAAATATCGTAATACACGGTGTCCATAAATTTCGTGTGCACTTTAAAAAATTTATAATTTTATTTGTATTTGCGATAGAAATAATTTGTCAAAAGGATTAGAAAGAAGTAAATCTATATTTTTAAGGCTTTATTGAAATTTTATTTAAGTTTCCACATATCCTCCATCATTAGCAATACAAAGGGTATTACGATTTTGAAGTTCACGGAAAATATTTGCGAACTCATTTACAGTAATGCCTGAAATCACATTAGTTATTTTAGCTATACTTAAAACTAGGTACATTAAACTTTATAACATTTATATATATATACTAGCAGTAGAGCCCGGCGTTGCTCGGGGGTGTAACAGTAAGAGATATATCAAGTATCGACCATCATAAAGAGTGAAAAATAACATTGACAAAGATTATTG